CAACGTCCCTAAGACCGAGGATGAATATGATGCGCAAGACATCAAGAAGGTGGAAAACAATGCCAAGGCCATCAACATCATCTATTGTGCCGTTAACCCGGATGACTACCGGAAGATTTCTTGTTGCACCACCGCAAAGGAAATGTGGGACAAACTAGAAATCACCTACGAAGGTACGGATCAAGTCCGAGAAGCTAAAATTGATTTTCTAACCCATGAATATGAATTGTTTCGTATGAAGGAAAACGAGAAAATCGATGAAATGTTTGAACGATTCTCCAAAATCGTCAATGATCTTCATGCTCTCAAGAAGACGTACACGGACAAGGAGCTTGTGAGAAAAATCCTGCGAAGTCTCACACCGGAGTGGCGCTCCAAAGACGACGCCATTCAAGAGTCCATCGGCATCACCAACGTCACCATTGACGGACTTAGAGGTAACCTCAAAACCTATGAGTCCACCATTCTATTCCCCTCTTTAGGTGAACAAAAGAAGAAGGGGATTGCACTCAAGGCTACCTCAAGCCAAGAACCCGCCATTGAAGAATCAAGCGATGAGGACAACGAGTTCGGGCTTGTCATCAAAAAATTCCACAAGTTCATGCGAAAAGAGTATGAACGAAAGGGCAAAAAGCATGGAGGAACACCCAAGTGCTATGGGTGTGGAGAAGTTGGGCACATCAAGCCAAAATGCCCAAACGCCAAAAACGAGAAGGAGAAGAAACCGTTCAAGAAGCACCGAGCTTACATTTCATGGGGAGCTGATTCCGGCGATGAGTCATCGGAAGGCGAAGAAAATGAAAGCGCCAACCTCTGCCTCATGGCACACGAAGAACCACCGGAAGAGGTATGTACCACTTCTAAAGATTCCTATACTTTTGATGATGTACAAGAAGCCTTTAATGAACTTTATGATGAATATGTCAACGCTTCTAAAATAAACAAGGATTTGAAGAAACAACTTACTTCCATGGAGAAGGAAGTTGATAAACTATCAAAAGATAATGAAAAACTTAAAGAAGAAAATAAGTTTTTCGGAAAAAGAAGCACCGACAAACCGGAAAGTTCAAAATGTAGTTCTTGTATATCACTTAAGGATCAAGTTGCAAAACTTGAAGGAACTTTGAAGAAGTTTGGTGTTTCTCATAAAAACCTTAATGATGTTCTTGATAATCTGCAACTCACTAAACATGGCTTAGGTTTTGAAAATGAAACAAATAACAAGGAAAGAGTTGAGCAACCACCTAAACAACCTAATGCTCAACCTAGGAAAACTAAAATGAACAATAATAGACAATCTACATCAACCAGGAACACTAGACCACCTAGAAAGAACACTAGAATAAACAATGATCAAGTTAGAGAATCTAGAAACCATTTTTCAAATATGCATAAACAAAACTTTTCTCAAACTAGGGTCAAGCAATATAGAAAACCTAGTAACTATTATCAACCTAGGAGAATGCATAATCCAAATGTTATTTTCCATTATTGCAATAGGTTAGGACATATAGCCCCGGTTTGTTTCACTAGGCATAGGCATTGCACTCGAAACCAATCACACTACCAACGTGCACCTAACGCCCAAGGACCCAAAAGGAATTGGGTACCTAAAACTTTTTAAATTGGTTTGTAGGTGTGCTTGAAGGCATCAAGTGTACTTTGGTACCTTGATAGCGGATGCTCCAAGCACATGACCGGAGATGCATCCAAGTTTTTGCAAATCAAACCAACTAAAGGAGGAAACGTTGTCTTTGGCGATAATAGCAAAGGCAAGATAATCGGCATTGGTTCAGTTGGTAAAAACGAAAACTCCTCTATTGATAATGTTTTGTTGGTTAAGGGTCTTAAACACAATCTCTTGAGCATAAGTCAATTGTGTGACAAGGGAAATCGTGTGACCTTCGATTCCAAATCATGTACGATAGAACGTCTTAGTGACAATAAGACGATTCTTCGTGGTGATAGAATTGATAACATTTACATGGTTAACTTAGATGAATCTCCCTCCGACTTTGCAAAATGTCTCATGAGTAAGGAGGACGATATGTGGCTATGGCATCGTAGAGTAGCTCATGTCAACATGAATCTTCTGAATAAATTGGTTTCACAAGACCTAGTAGTTGGCCTTCCAAAACTCAAGTTTGAGAAGGACACCATTTGTGATTCATGTCAAAAGGGCAAGCAAGTAAGGGCCTCATTTAAATCAAAGAATGTTGTGTCTACAACAAGGCCCCTACAACTTTTGCACATGGATCTCTTTGGACCATCAAGAACAAAAAGTTTTGGGGGAAACTATTTC